TCCATCCTCGTCGTCGTCGTCCGTGTCGGGCGTCACGACAGGGTGCACCGGGAGAAGTTGGGGCCCGAGCAAACGGCGAACTTTCTGAGCGCGAGGACGAGGCCCAAGAGAAACCTGGATTGGATAGTGCACACGCGCAGGGTAGCCTCCACATATAGTCGGAGTACCCATCGCCGCCGCCAACGTGTCGCTCGCCAGCCAGAAATCAATCTTGGAATAATTGCCAGAACCTGGATCCCGACAAGTGCCTTCAGCCGTGGCAACCACCCTCGCATCTAGCTTCGTGGTGATGTACGACTGGTCGAGAACTTCTGGCTTAACATTCCAGTCACCTGCCACGACAAAGGGGAGCCCGTAGTATCGAAGGCATGAGCCTAGGCGTGAGATGCGAGACGTATTCGCTCCGCCCAGCTTCAAGCCCTGCTCCAGATAAGAGGAGGCCACGGCGAAGCCTCCACGTGGTCCAGCACGAACCAGAACGGCCACACTGAAACCAGGTACAACAACATGATCACGAAGGCAGGCCGAAAGCTTGACCACCCCGATGTTGCTGCGCACAAAGAGCCCAACGCCTGCACGTGGCTTGTCTGACTCCGAAACAATTGCATCCGAGATGAAAGGTTGCCATCCTTGCCGCACACACCACTCTTCGGCTTGTAGCCGTCCATTCCCATGGAGGTGCAGCTCCTGCACGGCAACAATAGATATATGCCGCATGTTGTCCAGAAGATCCTTGGCCTGGGGCCATCCTGAACTGTTGAAACTAACCATCATCAGCGACTTGCGTCGCGAACCACGAAGACCTCGCCGCTGACGGTGAGCTGGCTGATCGCTGGACCAAGTCATTGAAGATAGCCTCTCGCCACTCTTCGTAACAGCAACCTGCACAGCTGCAGAGCCATCATCATTGCTCGGTGGTCGGTACCCTCTGGCCGCAGGCTGGGTGGGCAACGCTGAGCAGTGCGTACCATACGGCCCCAATTGGACCGCAGGTCGGTACCCTCTGGCGCTGCCAAGTCCCTTCTGCACGGCTGAGCAGTGCGTATCACCGAGCGATGGCAAACTAGTAGTGCCTGTATTAGTCGATGCTGAAGCCGAGATCCTAGGGTCACCCGACAGTGCATCACACGGAGAAAGTAATGAAGGCTGGTCAGCATGCAGTAGCTCATAGTCATCTCGACCTGGGTCGAAAGGCCTGATAGCACCGTCGCTGAACAACCGAGGCATGTCGAAAAACTGTACGTCGTTACCCAGCGTCGTCGTCCATGTCGGACTCATCAGTCCCAGCAGCATCGTCGTGTGCGGCCAGGAGCTCGTCCCATGGATGTGTAGCTGGAATACAAGAACCAGAGGCCAAAGCGGGCGGCGCATGAGCCCGTCGGTGCTGTGCCAAGGCCGTCTGCAATTGGGTGACATGTGTGCTGAGCGATGCGCAGAGCGCTCCAAGGTTCTCGGGCGTGGTAGAAGGCGCTGCCTGCACAATCTGCTCCAAGCGCTCGAGAGCGCCCGACACGTTCCGATCACCACCTTCATCTGGAGCTGAACGCCCTGTAGCCAGTACTGCAGCACGTGCCGTGGTAACCTCTGAGTGAATCGTCGCCAGATCCGCCGTCGCAGTCTGCAACTCGGCTGCTTTGGTGTCATACTCTGCTTTGAGCTTGTCCACCTCACTCTGTAACGCGGTAACCTCCCGAGTCTTTGCAGCCTGTCGATCCAGAGCTCGGCGGAGAAGATCGTCAGGCGTTCGTTGTGACCGCTCCGTGGCCTCGGCGGCCTGGAGCTCCTTGCGTGCAGCGACCACCAAGCCACTGCTATCATCAAGGCCCAGACGACGCAAAGCTGCCACTGCCTTGCGTGCTCGAGTGACTGCCTCAGATGCCGATGGGTCTTCTGAGGCCTCCTTCTCTCTGTCATCGCGGGCCTTGTCCTTGCCCCGCCCAGAAGACGGTGGCCTCGACGGTCGGCGCCGTGTGCGGTCTGGAGGTCCTGCGGGGTCTGGCTGACCCGACTTGTCCCTGCCGCACATGTAGCACCGTGCCGATGTGGCGAAGTTACGAGCATAGCCACACTGACGAGTAGCAGTACACGACCAGCGCGGCTCACGCGGGTCATCCCGCTGCGATCCACGGCCCCCTTTGCCGCCTCCCATGAACTGGGAGCCGTGGTGTTGTGATAGAAGATGACGCGCACGATCCAGGCGCAACAAGTGTCGCGCAGTCTGTCGTAACCGTCGCTGGCGTCGATGCCACGCAGGTGACCTGGACCTCGCTGTCGTCCTTGCCTCGCTCAGTCCGCTCCTGGGCAGACGCGAGGCAACCAGAGCGCCCCTGCCTATCGCGCGCACGGGGCCGCGGGCACGGGGCTGGGCGCAGGCAAAACGCGACACGGGGAAAGGCCTCCCGTGCCTCAAGCCCACGCCTAGGAGGAGGAGGAGGAGGAGGAGGAGGAGGAGGAGGAGGAGGAGGAGGAGGAGGAGGGGGAGGGGGAGGGGGTGGGGGAGGAGGAGGAGGAGGAGGAGGAGGAGGAGGGGGTCCTGGAGAGGCCCCGCGCGGCGACTCGAGGCCCAGTTGTCCTCGGAGAGGCACGCCGGCTGCACTTCGGGTGGCGTTGGATTTCCGCTGGACGCCAATCGGACTTCCATCGGACCTACGTCGGAGCATCACCGCGCGAACGTCGTCCCACGTCCGACGGGGGCGGACGTGCGGATTAGAAGATGTGACACTTTGCGTTGGATTTACGTTGGATGCCAATCGGACTTACATCGGACCTACGTCGGAGCATCACCGCGCGAGCGTCGTCCCACGTCCGACGGGGGCGGACGTGCGGGTTAGAAGATGTAACACTTTGCGCGCCGCGCGAGGCCTCCAGGATTTTCCTCTCGGCCGCCCCTTCCTCTTCCTCTCCCTAATGTCGAGGAGTATGAGGAGGAGGAGGAGGAGGAGGAGCCTTCTCCTCCTCCTCCTTCTCCTGCTCCTCCTCCGCCTCCCACTCCCTCTCCCCTCCCCCTTTCTGCCCCATCGCCCCGTGCTCTCTCCAGCCGTGCCTCTGCGGCCTCGTCCTCGTCCCCCCCCACCCCCCGAGGCAGGGCGACGAGAGGCAAAAGGGATGGATCGCCCTTCCCTCTCCCCTTCCCTCTCCCCTCCCCTTCCCTCTCCCCTTCCCTCTCCCCTCCCCTTTCCCTTCCCTCTCCCTTTCCCTCCCCTCCCCTTCCCTCTTCCTCTCCTTGATGTCCCCTTCCCTCTCCCCTCCCCCTTTCTGCCCCATCGCCACGAGCTCCCTTCAACAGTGCCCCTCCGCCCTCGTCCTCGTTCCCCCCCCCCCATCCACCCCCCGAGGCAGGGCGACGAGAGGCAAAAGGGATGTATCGCCCAGCGGGAAGGATCAGTCATCGGGGAACAAAAAGTGACATAAACATCAAAACTCGGAGGGTTCGCGCGGATTCCTCGGATCGGCGCTGGGGCCCCCAGGCGGCGCCTCCGGCGCCGCCCCTGGCGCGCTCCCAGCGCCGATCCGAGAAATCCGCGCGGGCCTCCGAGCTTTGATGTTTATGCCACTTTCTGTTCCCCTACGTCCGCATCGAGCCGGGGCATCGGATCGAATCTGAGCGTGCGTCGGATCGCGCTGCATCGCCACGGAGTCGAGGCCGAATCGGATCACTGCGCCCGGAGGCACAGATACGCTGTGCAAACAAGCATCGGGCCACATCGGATCGCTGGACCCCATACTCCAGATTTCGTAAGAAAAGGGAGCGGGTCTGGACCCTCCAAGACAAGCCATTTCAGACCTCCCCCGTGGGAGAACCCTCCAAAACATCGTCCCCAGACCCCCCAGGCCCTCCAAGATAGCCTGGAAGAGACCCCCCCCCCGAAATGAGACCCCCTCCCTTTATTACGAAATCTGGAGTACACAAGATCGAGCGAGCCCGGCGAACTTGAATCGAATCGGTCGGATCGAACTATAATGGGCCCTGGGAGGTGGGCATTGCGTGCATCCAGGAGTTCCGATCGCCCATGCGCCCTGCCGTCGCCTCCGAAGCGAGGGGGGAGGGAAATTACCCTGGCGACGTACCCAACCCGTTCGCAATGCGGGGCATAAGTATATCAAGGTTACTACAACGGGGGCGATGACGTAACATAGACGCATGTGATTTTGCGACCAGTAAATCGGAAGGCTCGCAGACCCCCGATCAAGATATAAGGGCTACGTAATAACACAAAGCATCCCCGTTGGCTGCACCATGCGCCCGTTGCGCCCAACGTCTCCCACAGCAGCTCTTGAGAGCCCCCGCGGGATACGTGTAAGCGCAACGTTATGGCCATCGCCGGCAGATGGTCTGTTTCACAACTCATCCCCGTTGGCTGTGCCATGCGCCCGTTGCGCCTAACGAATCCCGCAGCAGCTCTCCAGAGCCACCCAGGGACGGCGAGGTCTCGCTCAGGTCTCCGCAGTGCCTCGCTCCGCTGGACCCACCAGCAGCCCTCTAAAGTGGCGACAGCGTCGCAGATCGCAGCCCCCCCAGGGACGGCGAGGTCTCGCTCAGGTCCCCGCGGTGCCTCACTCCGCTGGAACCCACCAGCAGCCCTCTAAAGTGGCGACAGCGTCGCAGATCGCAGCCCCCCCCCCCAGGGACGGCGAGGTCTCGCTCAGGTCTCCGCGGTGCCTCACTCCGCAGGACCCACCAGCAGCCCTCGAAAGTGGCGACAGCGTCGCAGATCGCAGCCCCCCCAGGGACGGCGAGGTCTCGCTCAGGACCCCGCGGTGCCTCACTCCGCAGGACCCACCAGCAGCCTTCGAAAGTGGCGACAGCGTCGCAGATCGCAGCCCCCCCAGGGACGGCGAGGTCTCGCTCAGGACCCCGCGGTGCCTCACTCCGCAGGACCCACCAGCAGCCCTCGAAAGTGGCGACAGCGTCGCAGATCGCAGCCCCTTGGCAAGATGCACACACAAGAGGTACCGCAGCCTGGATGCACACACACACACACACACGAGGTATGCGCAAGGCAAGAGGAGACAAGACGGAAGCGGGAGGCGGGAGGCGGGAGGAGGAGGGGGAGGAGGAGGAGGAGGAGGAGGAGGAGGAGGAGGAGGACTGGAGACCGCAGTGCCATATTCAAAACGAATACCCAACCAAGGAGGGTTGGGAAAAAGAATCATGGAAATGCAGCGCGATGGGTGCAGCGAAGGTCTCCGAGTGATGGCACCTTGCGCGCCCGCCAGGCGTGCGCTTGAAGCTGGAGGCACTACGGGTCATTTGCGACGTGCCCCGCCGCAAGCACATCAGACAGACGACTAGCGACGCTGGATGGACACATCCGGATGGACAGCAGCGGCTGCGGCAGATGCGCCGAAGGCGCTCACCGGAATTCTCGACCAGGCTTTTGTCGCTTAGCCCACGGCCTACGTCGCCCATTAGGCGATGAATTCCCTCCCGCCACACTGAAGCTTGATCGTCATTTCTCTCCGCAACGCCAGTCGACCCGCCTTTTTTGGCTCCTCTTCCTCCTCCTCCTCCTCCTCCTCCTCCTCCACCTCCTCCTCCTCCCACTCCCATACCTCCCTGCTGCTGCTCCGATCCCTTGTTTTCGTCCTCCCCCATTCTCTAGAACCGAACTTCGGCCTCAGTGGGGGGACACTTACAGCTGTCAGTGGGTCCGATGCGTTGGAATAACATGTGGGACCTACGTTAGAACAGGAACATACCGTAGACGGGTCCAACCTTTCTCCGACCTCGTACTGCGCCGAACGCAACGGCCGCAGAGTGCGCCGATATACGTAACGACAACCAGTTGTGTGTCTGAAGACGCTGGTAGCCAGAACATGACAACTATGTTGTGGCACATGCCCCAGAGATTGGTCTTCTAGAAGCAGGTAGGCTTTGCCCTTCAACCCATACGGCCCGCCCTTCAAGTGCTTCGCACCCCACTAAATGGGGTAGGCCTGCCACGGCACCGCAGAGGTCCGAACGGTCGCGCCCGCAAGCACGCGGGGCCCACGTCCCATCTGGTTTGGCCCACCCTCCACATGCTTCGCGCGCAGTGGCCAGCCCCATCTATGCCGAAGGCATGTGCTTCTGAACGCCCGAAGTGGGTACGGACCAACAGGGTACGATGCCCAGCCGCAAAGATGGTCCCAGACCGACCGCGGCCGACGCTGGGCAGGAGGCCTTCTGTCCCAAGAACAGACAGACGCCCCGCGGCGGCGCGAACAGCGAGACCTGCTCAACATGAGCAGGGACTGATGTTGGGCACCGTGCCGAGTCCCGAGTCTTCGCGCGTGCGATGTGGCACACCCCGTCGCGCGCGTCGCGCCCGATGGGGAACCCCAGCCCCGGCCGCAGCGGGAACGGCCGCGTGCGCCACCACATCCACTCGGGCCCGCTGTCCTCGGCCGCCTCACACCCCCGCCAGCGAGCCCCAGCGACGGCCCCCCCACGGCGCCACTGCGTGTGGCTCCAGCTTCCCTCCTCGCCCACCCCTCGCAGGCCCTGCGCACCCACACAGAACCCCAGATGACGGCCCCATCTTGCCGTCGCTCGGACGTCCATTCCCCGTACATTTTTTGGTTTCGTGCGTGTTTTTTGTTGCTCGATGGTCCAGGGTTGTCCTCGATGGTTCTCGCCGGGAAAAAATGCACACGTCCGAGCGATGCCAAGCCATAGGTCGCGCACACACGTTTTCTCCGTCCCTGCTGCTCTCCACCGTCTCAGACCGTTCGCACCCCAGGACACGCCCCGCTACAGCCCCAGTGGGCGCGCCTTTGCGCTTGTTCCCAAGCCGCTGTTCGTCCACCCCAGACGTGCTGCCCCTGCGGGACAAGCGGATGCCAGGAAAAAGCGGGGGAGGATGAGGAAGGGGGGGGGAAGGGTGTACGAACCCTCCCTGACCCCGAAGGTGCACGAGGCTGAACATAGGAGAATCTCTGGCCAACGTCGCTCAGCTGTGCCGAGGCTTGCGCAAATCGGGTCGGACGAATGGGGGGGATGGCAATGTTTGGAGTCCCGAAACGGTGTGGTGACAGACCGTGCGGTGACCTCGAACCCCAAGAGACCTCACCGCGCAGTCCGTCAACGCACGGTCTTGGGACCCCGGAGGCCCCTGTTGCCCGAGACGTCCTCGGAGAACGACCCGAGTCCCAAGACCGTGCGGTGACCCCGAATCCTCACCGACTCGCCACACGGTGTGGTTACCACACCGTTTAGGGGCCCCCGACAATGGGAAGGTGGGCGAATGCGCTGGCTGGTGCCTCTGGCCTTTCTGAAGGGGCCCTGGGACACACAAATAAATACGCACAAATAGCAGGATTCCCCACACTTCCCTATATCTTCTGGGTTTTTGTCTTCCCCCCCACTTCCCATTTTTTTCCCATATGTTTTCCTGGGAGTCGGCGAAAAATTGTGCCTCCGGACTTTCCGGCGCCTTCCTGCGCGGGCCTGGAAGCGACCCGCACCGAGGCACGGGGCCAGGCGGCAGCACCCCCGCCCCGATCGGCGGGACGAGAAGACCACAGAGCCCCCGTATCGGGCGCGGCCTAACCGACCAATAGCATCATGTTGCTCCCATCTTACTTAAGGACCACATCCCACAAATATGTTCGAGCGCCCGGAAAAGTGTCGAAAGAGTGCCGAACGAGTGTCGACAGAGTGTCGAACGCGGGTCTCCCAGGGCCCAACACGTGAGAATCATGGAGTTTCGGTACTTCTCTCTGGCGCGACCAAGGATCTTTTCGCGGCGCGGGACCCCCGATCCTGTCCCGAGGGATCTGTTCGCGCGCGCGGGCGGGCAACTGCCAGGCCTGCGGACATCTGGCGCCTGGCCCCGGGGGCCCCAGAGGCGCCTCAAGCTGGGCCAACAGGGCCGCAAGAAGCCCCCGAGATGGCCCAAGAGGGCCCCTGTATCGAACCGACCAATAGTCGGCGATGGACAAACCTCCCTTTAGTAGATCTCGTCTTAGTGAAAACAGCCTGGGACCGAAACCGACGGACCTGGACCCGCAAAAATGACGGCCGCGACGCCCTCTCGCGAGCCGAAAACGGCCAATTCCTTAATCGACGCGTCAGGGTAAGAGGTCTGTCCACTCCCGAATCAATAGCGTTGTGGATGCCACGACAATGGACACCCTAACAGTCCTGTCATCGAATCAAACATGTGTTTAAGATGTTGAGATGTTTCATGTGCATTATATGTATAGAACAATTTTATCACATGTTCTAAACATCTGGAATGACTTGGCAACATGCTTCCTCTCCATTGATCGTCCTCCACAACAATAGCGGACCATCCCCTTCCGTGACGTCACCCTCGCCTTTCAAACTGCCCCCCGCTACGGAAGATTCTGGGGTTCGGGTCATTGTTCGGGCCTCTGGCGGCCGTTTGGGGCGATTCCGGCATCCCAGGAACGCCCCCAGCGAGGAGCATTTGCTGGAAAGCATCCCGAGGCGAGAGAAGTCCTGGGAGAAACTGCCAGAAACCCTTCGGGCACGGCCTAACCGACCCCTAGCAAACCATTCCCTTCCGTGAGGTAACCCTCGCCTTTCACGCTCCTCTCAGGCCGCATGACATACGTCTTGGGGCGAGGCGAGGGGGACGTCACAGAAGGGGATGGTCTACTGGGGGTCTGTTAGTCCGACCCTGGCTGTCCCGCCCAGCGGTCGGAAGAAGTGTATAGAAACATGAAGCAGGAAGGCGTTGACAACAGATTGGTAAGGCGAAGACATGACGAGGAGAACATCGGGTGAAGATAAATCGGCTGGAGTCCGCTTGACGCCGTTTCCTCATCCTCACCTTCCTCCAACTATTTATCTTCCCCCTCCTCCGCCTCATCCCCCACAGAGGCACCAAGGACCCCCAAGAGCCCCTGGGGAAGGGAGATAAAGAAGGAAGCGATACCTGAGCGAACAAGGAATACAAGGTGTCGGCGGATGTGGCGTAGGCCTGTAGAATCGGGAATCTCTGAGATCTGGAGGCTCCGGAACACGTCTCGGGCGCCGAAGCCTTCTCAGAGCGTTCGGGAACGCTCTGAAGGCGTTCCAGAACGCCCTCTACCTGCTTCCAGTTCGTGTCGTGACGATAGACCTGGCATCGCTCGGACGTCCATTCCCTGTGTTTTTTTCGGTATCGTGCGTGGCTTTTTCGCCAAATGATCCAGGATGCTCCTCGATCGCCCTCGCCGAGAAAAACTGCACACGTCCGAGCGATGCCAAGTAGTGCCGTCGGTTCCCGGCACCGCGCGGACCGCTCGACCTTGAGCGATCGGCGGTCTCACGATCGCCAGATCGTTATACATGGGCCGTCTCTGGGCCACAGGCGGCGCTCAGTCTCGAACACCCGCGCTGGGGTCGTCGCCGCGTCGAAACGATGCGAACCTGCCATAGTCGGGTCGGGCGAAAAGGGGGGGATAGCAAAGGGGGGGTTTGAGAATCAGCTCACGTAGCTGGCTCTCCCGGCGCCTCCTGACGCCGGAGGCGGCTATGTATCGAGGAATGGGCCCCTCGGTGAGGCCGAAACCAGCTGCATGCAGCAAATTTCGTAACCCCCCCTTTCCCAATCCCCCCCTTTCGCCCGGCCCGACATAGGGATGATGGACCACACCTTGCACCTTGCATGTTGATGTTTATGAACACTCCCCGCACCCCAAATCGAAGACTGGCAGCTGCAACGCAACTAGTCGACCGGCCGAAATCCTGCCCCCGCTAGCCATGCCCACCAACATTGGATCGGGGGTGGGGGTGCGTTGAAGCTTGCGCATGCATCCTGATCGCGCGGGTCGTACAGCATGTCTCATCATAAACCGTAGTGCGAACCCAAGAGATAGAAAACTTGCAGGGCTAATCTTACTAGATTCATGCATGTTTGAGCGGCCCGAGGTCGCCCGAGCGGCGTGTATCAACATCACGCGAACCATAGCAGGCAGCACAACCTGAAACGCCTGCTGGGGCTCATGGTACCGAGGGTGGAACAGTCACGCATCGGTCGCCGCCGGGAAAACTGCCCCCCATCCCCCGAGAGAGCACGGGGGGGCAGGGAGAGGGGAGTCTCTCCCGCTACACACTCCGGGGGCTCGCGTCAAATGCAATCAAAGCTGATAGTAGGGATGCGCGATAAGTGTGCAAGGGCCTTGGACGCCCATGCCGAGGCTGTTCGAGCGGGGCTGGCCATCGAAAGGCGTTACGAATGGACCGAGGAGGTAAGGATGTTTCGGAAGTCGACTATGCTTACAGTGGGGGGGCCCGACCACAAGAAACCCTCAACAAGAAACCCAACGCTGAGACCCCAGGACCTCCATCGATTTTCGGCGTGGGAACGTCACGCCTTCCATTGCAAAACCATCGAAACCCAAGAAACACAGGGCACCCTGGAGGTAAGCAGGGTGCTTCATAGCATGAGCCCCCACCGCAGTGTTGACTTTTCTCTTGGGCAGGCTGCGAGGCACACACACACACGTCTCCCCTTCCCGTGTTGACTGTATCTCCCCCTCTC